AATGTATTACTCTAATCTTTATTTTCTTTTTTTCGATTATTTCTCCAATATTGCTTAATTCTCTTGTACGTCCAATCCGAAGAGATTTTACTAAGTTCATCAAATACCGTTATAAGTAGATGAATTGGTAGCGATTTTTTATATTCAAGTAATAGACCAAGTATTTCTTTTTCCGTTTTTGTAGTTTTTTTTCGGCAAGCTTGTGCTTTATGACTTTCCGTATTTGAATCTTGTGTAGGGAATAAAGATTCAGACTCAAATAATTCAGAATGTGTGATATCTTTTTGAATAATTATTCTTTTAGTTTTTTTCTTTTCTTGTTTATTTCTTTTCTCAAGTTCAGTATATGTATAACAGTTTATATCTCGAGCACCACGTCCAGAAGTTACACAGGACTCTGTTCTACACACATCTTGCCTAAGTATTGCTTCAAGACGTGATTTTCTGGACTTATAACAGGCAAGAATTAGTTTAACACCTTCCTCATTGGCTTCTGGCGCACCTTTAAATAAATTATGCATTGCTAAATTTTCATTTTTAAATGAGTATGTTAGTTTTGCCACTAGTAACCAAAGAGAGTCTTTACGGGATTGGATGGAATGAGTACTTCAATTTACTACTACATCATCAGTGTATTCCGCAATAAGCAATGACAAACGTTCTCTTTTACTTTGAGCTGCTTTAATTTTTAACATCATAGTTTCTTCATCTATAAGGTTTCCAAAAATGTTTTGCTTGACGAATTTTACACCGTATGTTTCAAGTGTTTCGTCAAAACCAAGATAGTGATCTTCACACGTGAGATTTACTGAGCATACTATCTCCAACAGTCTTCATAGCTGCAAATCATCATGAACTTACGCCAAAAAATGCACAGTAGAGCTTGCATACTTTGATTTGTCAGCTGCAGGAAAAAGAGGTGCGAAGGCAGCTAAATTGGCCATTTGCATTTTGTAGTTTCCCTTTCTGATTCTGATTTTGTGCCCAATGAAGTACCCAGTCCAGC